CTCTTTATCATTAAAAATTGGATTTGCAGCTGTGCAAACATAGGTTCCCTGCAACAGTAAAACTGAACAGTCGTATGTATGTTTTCATTTCTATTTGCGTATCTTCTCATGATGCAGAGTATGGTGAGGTGCTCTTCTTTCTCTGGTCTTGGAATTCATTGAGCATTTCCTTTGCACAGCCCCCGGGGTAGCCTGACAGGATAAGGAAATGTGAGGTCTCCAGTGCAGAGGAAAATACAAGATTGTTGACATCTTTACAAGACTGTTGCAACTTAAAGGACATTGTTTCATTCAGCTCTCTCTCACCCACAGTGTTCATGATAGTATCTTTGACCCTTCCCCTTCCTGAACAGCGATGTGATCCAAACACAGTATATAGTTCCTACCTCTGTTTTTCATCCTGCTGTATTATGAACTTCCGTTGATTTGCTTCGGACACCGTTTTCCTTGCCAACTCATCTATATTCAGATGTTTTTCCAAATCATCCTTTTTAGAGTTTTGATTTCAAGGTAAAGCAGAGGGTCCTGACAAGGCAGAGAAATCGGTAACGTTTATTTTGTAAGTTAATGCTAAAAATGTGTAACATGACGTAAGGGGCATTTATTTAGTTTCTAAGGGAGAGAAGACCTGAGGTAGTCTATTGTAAGTCAAAAGTGGTTAGCCGCGTTACCTTGAAATTCTGACATAGTAATTACCTATGAGCCTTGAGTGTAGGTACTTAACTGAATGGTGTTGCCAAGAATGCTTGTTTTAATGAGATCATAGACTTTGAGTCAAGGAAAGCTGCACTTGGTGTTCAGCTTGGCCTACTTTGGCTTTACGTATTAGTTCCAGGAGAAGAGAAGGTGCATTAGTAAAGCTCGTTCAGGTCAAAAGAAGCACTTTCTTTCTTGGCTAGTAAGTACCATTGATGGGACTTGGGGAAGCCTGATGTGGTATGTGTGCGCTAAATAACTATGCAGTTCTGCTTTAGCTGCTAACTCAGCTAACCCTGATTTAAGAACTGGGTCATACCTGAGTGAAGAGACTAGGCTGCTGTTTGCTTCTGCTGATTTTTGTTTCCTTTTGTTTTAAAGAGCCCCTCTGTGTCGAATAATTTAAACAAGAACAATAACAATAAAACCTGACGTAGATCTTTCGCCAGCGAGTTCTGGAATTGCCAACAATACACAGAGGGAGGCAGGCAGGCGTGCACCCACTTCCCCCAGCCCTCCCCCCCGCAGTGTAGATATGTGTATGTACACTTGCATTATCTGTTATGTTGATGATAAATGAACTATGGTATGTACCACATATTTCTTTGAGTCATCATATTGTCTACTACTTTATCCAGCAGGATGGTCTGTAGTTACTTTGAGTCATACCAGCCCGTGTATTGAGTGAGAGCCAACCAAGAAGTGAAGGTGGAATTCCCTGAGGGGGAGGAGGGCAAAAGCCTGCTGAAGGGAGGATTTTGGGCCAAGAAAGGCCAAAGAATAGCAGTGGATACTCCGTTTACAGAGAGGTTGACTTACAATTCAAATACATTTGATAACCACAAATTAGGTATTTTGAGCGAAAGAATGCTTCTTGTATGTGTATGCTCAGGTATGCAGCCATCGAGTTGCTTTTGAAGGGGGTCATTGAGTTTTTTTGAGTTTTATTGAGTGTTTTTTGTTTGTGGTGAGTCTTTGGAAAATTAGTTTGTTTTAATAAAGCTAGTCTGAATCACTTTGTATGTGATGTAGATTATGGTAGTAGCTTATTATACTATAAACAAACAGAGACTGGCTTGCCGTGTGTTGGAAGCCAAAGGGGTTTCTCATGTCTGCAGGGCTGGGGAGTACTGAGAGGGACTGGAAGCCAAACCCTCCCCACAAGGCGAATACATGGTATTCATGGTAATACATGGTTCGCTGGGGTAGACCCAGCATCCTCTTCAGCTCCCCCTGCAATCATGGCAGTGAGCTAAAAAGGAGAAGAAATGGAGTGGTGCAGCCAGTGGAGAATTAAAAGCATAGAATAAAAAAAAAGCTAGGAAAAAGCAAATAGTTCAGCATCTTTATTAGCAAGAGATGTGTCTGCTGTCAACCTGAACTGGTTATCTTTCAGCAGGTTTTTGCCTTCCTAAAGTGTACTCTATTCAGTGCAAGGACTTGATTTACCTCTGTGTTTGGAAAGCAGCTAACAAATTGCAGATGATGTTGTGGTATGAAGAATAATGAGGAAGCAGTGTGCTTATTATACATATTTAGCTTTTGCTTTGCTAGTGCTCTGTTATTTGCTTTAATATTGAAGTACTCATAAAAACAATCTTTCTTCTGGCACAGTAAAATTTGTATTTAAAAAGCTTGCAAAGATAAATATTTAATACCCCGATGGGCATCCCAGCACTTTCAGCAAGATGCATGAGCATCAGATGTGCCAAAAACAATTTTGCGAAGTGGGATTAGATGACCTTAATAGATGTGAAAAACTGGATATTTTAGTGTCTTCAGGTGCAGCCTTGGAGTGACAAATACTCTAAATGGTGACTCCTGCATTGTTTCCTCTTTCCCCTCCTCCCCCATCTCTTTTTAAAATTTGCAAGGCAGCGCGTGTTGGTTGCCAGCAGTGCCAGGTCAGGAAGCAGGCTGTGTAGGAGAACTTGTGTATTGGTGTCCTTGTTTGCAAGGCAAAAAAATCCAAGGAAAATCTTGGGGCGTGGATGGGATGCTTTAGATGTTCCTATACCCACACTCGCAAAGGAGTTCAACACAATTTGCACAGTATATCTGCTATTTCGTGCCTTCTGTGAGATGCACCTTTAATGACTTGCTGGAGCAGTTAGCAGGGCTACAAGGGCCAGCCCTGCTGCTGTAGCTGGCAGGTCTGGCTGGGCTTCTGCTCGGGCAGGGGTGCTGGGAGAGTGCTCTGTACAAGCCGAAAGAAGACTGAAGGAGGAAAGAAGCTTTAAAGGGAAGAAGGGCGAAACTGATTAGTCTTTTTACCCACTGGTGGATTTTATTCCTCCCCTAGTTTTCCAAACTCGACAGATTATACATATTTAAAATGCCTTGCTGTTTTGGGGTCTGTTTTTGAGGACAGGGTTCCCAAATGGTGCACGAGTGATGATGCATCGGCTCGATCTGCTCATTCACTTCCCAGCCATTTTTAGAAGACGGCAAATGAATAATCACAGGCTGCTCTAGCCCTCTCAAGCCAGTTTATTTACTGCCTCTGGAGAGCAGGGGTTAATTGGTAATTCGGGCGTGGAGCGGCTGTTGCTGCAACGGGCTGAGTCCCAGTGTCACGCTGAAGGCGAAGGGGCTCCCGGTGACGCCGGCGCGGCTGCACAGCGCTGGGCAGCAGTGCTGGTCTTTGCTCTTACAGTGTCAAAATGGCTGCGAGTGCGTGACGGAGCATTGGCTCTGGTGAAGCAATCAAACGTCGGTTTGTCAGAAGAACATAATATTTCAGAACAAAATACTGAAGGAAGCAAAAAGCCAAGGGTGCCGTGCTCCTTCATGCCAGCTCTTGATCCATATTGGAAAGGGGAGGTTCAGGGTGGAAGAGCAGAGATGTTATACGATGGCAGATTTTCTGTTATTAATTGTAAATCTTCTCGTTCCTGCTTTGGGAACTTGTCCCTGCTGCATCCTGCACCTCTGCAGACAGCATCACGGTTAGCAAAGAGGATTCGAACCTAAGAAGTGGATGTGACTTCAAGTCAGCGCTGGTGCAGGATCTAATTACCGACTCAAATGAAAAACGTCTTCATGTTATTCAGGGAAACGGAAGTTCAGAAATGGGATGGGATTTGATTTGCCAGTGTTCGGTGGCAATGTCTGTTGCCATTACTAAATGCCTAGAAGATAACAGGAACTGTATATGGCGGGGGGGTCAGGAGCTATTATTGGTGAAATGTTAGGGACCATCATAAAAGTTCAGTGTGCCTATGAGGAGAGTACGACATTGTCTGTTGTGCGTTCTTGCTGGCAGTGCGTTAGCAATTTGAGAACAAGATACCCAAAAGATAGCCTCTGGATGAAATCTTAATCTCACGCACAAACTTCATTGACTTCATTTGAGGTCTGCGTATCACCCACAGAAAAACCTGGGAATAAATGGTTTTGTTTTATTTCTCCAGGCTTAAGGGTTTTTATTATCTACCCTACTAAACATAGCATAGATATTTCCAGTCAGTTCCTCCCATTTTGTTTTGTTTGTAAAAAAGCACCATATGCGCAAAGTAATGTCGCCCTGGATTGTTCTGCCAACTCAGTGCTCTGGTTGGCTAAACATCCTTCTGCTAAAAAAATTGTATAATTAGTTTGTTTTATTGTAAAGGTCACTTTTAATTTCTTCTAGAAAAAGCTTGCTTTCTTCTTACGTTAGCTTTTCTTTTTGTTAGTGTTTTGAATTTGTTATTGTTGGCTACCTTAGTTAAACTTACTATAAAACTGATTTTTGTAATCCACAATGAATTGCATTTTCTGGTTAAAAGCCAAGCAGTGAGATATACCTTAAGTGTGAATTTCACAATAACAATGGACCTAATCGAACCATGTTTTCATTCTTCTCAATTAGAGCCCAAGACACTAGATAAAATTTCCATTCTGCTATATCTCTAGTTGTGCTTTTTGCACTATTGCTCTGTGGGTGTGACCTACTAACAAGATTCAGTGCTCCTTTATTTCCTCTTTTATATTAACAAAAGTATTTTAGCATGTGCCATTACTGTACTATTTACCTCCACAAACACCTTTCCTGGCAAGTCTTTTTTGTTGGGTTTTTTTTTTTTTGTATTTTTTTTTTGTTTTCACCTTACCACCCTCAAATTATATTTTAATTTACTGACCTATGAGCATAAGCTCATCTGCAAAGCCTTGATTCTGTTCCCTTGTGGCCTGGGGTCTTTAACGTTAACTGGCTACTGGCTAGTTTCTGTTCAATGCAAAGACTTCCATAGCTGGATGCAGCTGAGTCAATGTGCAGCGCTGTGATATACATGTTCAGAAATTTTCTGGTTTCTTTTTAGTGCTTTGCTGTGCGCTCTCTGGGCTGGGTAGAAATGGCAGAGGAAGATCTTGCTCCTGGAAAAAGCAGTGTTGCTGTGAACAATTGCATCAGACAACTCTCATATTGTAAAAACGACATCAGAGACACCGTTGGCATTTGGGGCGAGGTAAGAACACAGTGAACCTCCTGTTCCTCTTGTGTCGTAAAATATCTTGGAAAAAAAAACTGTATAGGCAAATGCATCTGTGCTTGTTTTTATTCATCTAAAATTCCAGTTTAAAACAGTATAGTCAGAAATTAGAATACCCAGGTTTTCTGTGCAGTCTTTAACCAAAAAAAAAAAAAAAAAGTGTTTTCAAGTACCATGTTGGGCCTTCCCTATCTCAGCTGGCTCTGTCAGAAAATATGAAAGAGTTCAAGGACAGGTTTGACATTTTTGTTCCAAATGGCTCAGGACAGCAGGTGCCACAAAGACCTGAATTTAATGTTTATTTCTTTGCTGTGTGTATTTTGTAATGCACAGCAAAATCTAACAGTGTAGTAACAAAACTACCAGTGGATACTGTATAGAATACTATTTGTTAATAAAAATATTTTTGTGAATTATAGACAAGCGATCAAAGAGGAATGCTCAGTAAGCTGGGAAAAGTCAATTCTGACTCGCACACGCCTGTGTAATAACAGTGTTTAGACACACACATGTAAGCCGTTGAAGTTAGTGGAAATTTTTCTTCTGACTAGACGTTTTAGAGTAATGCTTTGGAATACCATTTTCACACGTTTACCAGTAAGAAAAGGACTTTAAGGAAACCCAGACTGGCATGTCCTGTGTTCCTAAAATGTGTGAGAAGATTGAGACTGGACAGATAGCTTATTTTAAGAGGATTATTTTGCCACGTTTCAAAAGAAAACTTACTTTCTCCAAGTTGGCCGCAAGGAGAGGGTAACACCATGGGGGCTCCTGGGGAAACACGCAGGAAGCTCGGGGTATTGTGGTGCTGGGGCAGAAGAAAGAACGGAAGGTGTGGAGGGGTTAGTAAACGAACTAAGAAGAAAGGAACAGCTGGGTTTATAGTGGAAGGAAGTACAGAGGTCGTAGGAGACAAATCCATAGGAAAACAGGCTTCGTTATTTATTTGCTCTTGAAACAACTTACTTAGACTTCAGCCAAGTCTTATTCTGTTCCTCTCTCCGGACCTGTTGCCAGGAGAGTTGCACCAAGGCTGATTTACTGCTCAGTGGTCAGAATGCAAAAGGTGACGTAAGAGTGAATGCTGTTACCTTCACTGATGTTTGTGTGTGATCTAAGAGAAGCAATGCTGCCAAACAAGCAGAATTAAAAGAAAAAAATGTCTGTCTCAGTGAAAATTTACTGCTGCAGTCTAAGACTTGTGTTCACCGTCCTGGGTATGACCACAACAATGCAGAGATACTTCAGAGAAGCAGTTGGGACATGCTTTTAAAAAAAAAAAAAAGTTTCAAGGGGCATAGTCCCTCATTTTGGAAGGCTAATACCATTAATATGCATTACAATTTGAATGTACAGCATTTTTCTACTTAAAGGAACCTTTTTTAATTTAAGAAATGTATATTGTAGATATAAATGAACGAGATAACACTAGTCTCCCTTCTCCTCGTTTCCAGGAAGAGTTTTATTTAGTTAATATACCTAGACAAGCGATTAGAGCTGTACTGGGCATGGTTTTTTGGACTTACTGCTGAAATTGCGAGGAAGAAAATAATACACTGTTTACATATGTGTAATTTCATCCATTTTTCAGATGGCAGAATTTTGGTCTGCTTGAAATACATCATTGGCTTTTGAAACAGTGTTTTATTTTGCTGTAAGAGTTAACGTTCACTTCTTTCCATATTCCCCTCTGTCAATGCCATTGGGCTTTGTTTGAAAACCGTACTCTATTTCAAGCCAAATAGGTGAAAAGCTTCAGTGTCCTTGAAAATATATTAATTAATTAAAAATGCTCTTCTCAAATTTTGTTCAGCGCGACAAAGCAGTACGGAGACACTGTCCTTGAATAGATGCCCCTAAAATAAACGGTCGTCTTGATTTTAAAAGAAATCATTAGAACCATGTTTTTCTGCTGGCACTATAATGTTTCAAGAGTGATTGGAAGGAGCACGTTTTCAAGAGGAATCTGAAAAAAATGTGCTAGTCACTGACATATCAGATGGAGCGCATACAGCAAAATCTGTCGTGAAGCTAGAACTGATGACTGCAGATCAGGGTTTTAAGATTGCCTAAGGATTTATTTTACCTCTAGTGCAGTGAAAAAGTGAAATTGGGAGTAGGACCATTCCCAAGCATTTGCGACTTTAAAAAAAAAAAAAAGGGGGGGGGGGGGGGCGGAGTTTGAATTGTGACCCCACTGAAACTTTGTCATAGGCTTTAATGTGGGATTTCATGCCCTCTGCTCCCCTAGAAAAGAAATGAGAATACATAATTAGTCATTCCCGTTTCTTATGTCAACAGCTCTGTAAAATCTAAGAAGAAAAATGTAACTAGTCTGTTGTTATTGCTACATTGCCATGCGTTATATTCCTGTACATTAAAAAATCATTTACATGAAAGAGGAATGGTGTTGCCATTGACCTGTCACACTAAGTAACACTTCCCTGAAAGGCTACTGAGACCAAGTTTTTCCCTTCCCTTCCTGAGTTTCCCTGCGTGGTTCTTCCTATGAGATCCCTGCTTGTCCTGCAGGATCAGCTCTTTGCAGCTCTTCAGCGCTCGGAGACAGTGAGGTCTGTGTTTGAGCTCCCGCTGTGTCTAAATCATTTCTACTTGCTCTATGCAGCATTTTCATCTCTGCAAAGGCTTTTGTATAATAAGGCAACAAAACTTAACAAAATATATTGCTTCTGCCTGCCGGTCAAGCTATCCCTTGGGTATTCAAGGATAATTTCTTGTGACTTAAGTTCCTTATCTGCTCTTTGCCCAACCTTTTGCAGGTAATTTGGATTCCATTTTATTACCCTAATCCCAGTATATTTCCATGATGAACAGGAATTTGCCTTCCTGTAATAATTTCCTTCTGGAATAAATATAGAAGTAGAAAATGGATTCCGAAGGCAGTCTTTGTGACACTTGGTGACATTCTTTACACAAACTATTTAGTGCTTCTGACCTCCAAGCAAATTTCTCACCCTCTTTCTTTTTCATGATTCTGTTTTCTGTTTGATCTCCTTCATCGTCCTGGTCTGCCTGGGTACTATCCTGGCTTCTGTGTTTTGTTTCTCATTTTTCATGTTCTCTATGCTGTAAGAAGTTGCGTAATGCTGGTCTGCTCCATTTACGTGCACGGTTATTGCAAAGACTTCTGTTTCTGCTTCTCTAGGACCAGTCTATATATCCGGCCTTGCATCTCTGCCTCAGCTGTACTTTTTCCATCAGGCGAAATGTTTCCCTGTAGACATCCTTCCCTCTCCCACGCCCCTCGCAGCACTCGCAGGGCCAGCGCGGTGCCACAGCTCCCCTTCGCATCCCTGCTAGGGGATTTGGGAGTGGGAGAGGTGGTGAGCGCCTGCGCGAGGCCTGTGCTCCTGCCACGTGCTGGGGCAGAGGGCTAATGCTGCGCACCCTGCCCGGGAGCTGCCTTCCCCCTTGCTGGGCTGTGCTGCCCTTGCTGCCAAGCCCTAAAGCCCTGGAAGCAGGCCCTTCCAGGGTGGAATAAATGCATGTCTTCTGCAGACACAAAATGAGACATCATTAAAACTTGAGCCACTATAATCGGGCAGGAAGAGCGTTTCTGTGCCGTTCAGGTGAAGAGAAAGGTCATTTTTGAAATGTTTGTCAGTATGAAGTCAAGGCCTTTCCGTTCCTTCTGTTCACTTAAAGGTTTTGGCACAATACAGGGAAAACAAATTAGTCTTTATTTAGCAGGTAGCCTCCCACGTTATTCTTCTTATCAGCAATAGCTTGTCTTACCTCTTGGCAGTAAGTCAAGGATCATTTCTGTGGGATCCCACAATCTGCAGAGAAGGTGTGCGCTCTCCGAGAAGGGAACTGTTGGACGTGATAGAAGAAGGAGCAGACTTTTTGTGAACGCTAGCAATAGGAGGAGGATTAGCGTTTCTGAATTAGCATCAAAAGAAAAATTGCCTCAAAATTTGTTTTCTCTAAGGGGGGAAAAAACAAAGATTCTCCGAGTTTTTTCATGCCAGAAGAAGTAGGGAAAAATCTTGGCTCCAGGATTCTTCAATAACTTGCAAAATTCACATGGATGTCTTGGTGCTAGGTTTTTCCCTTTAATGCAGTTTTCTTCAAAGAGTACCCTCTAAATCCTTTGATGCGCGCAAATTCCTGTCAGTTCCCATGGCCCACTGACTAAAGCTGGTAGAAATTAAGCACGTATTGTGTGAGGGAAAGAAGTCTGCTTTAAGAGTATTGGTTTCCATAGAAGCCTTTACTAAAGACAGTTCTTGACTTCCCTTATCTTTAGAAGAATTTACTAGAGAAAGGATAAGCAAATAATTTGTTGAATAACTGATTCTTTGGGATGAAATGAATCAGATGGTTACATTTAAAAGATGTTACAGGTTTTTGTGGTTGTGGACATTTAAAAGTATGGTAGTCGTAAAATATTACCTGGAGTCTTTTTCATAGCAGAAGTGAATGAACTTGTTTTCAGATGCCCCGGGAACAAACTGAAACTTTGAGTAAGTTAAGAGAGGATGCAAGGCTTAACAGTGTAGATGTAACTCCTTGACCATGGTCAGTTTGGGGGGGGGAGAGGGGGGGCATACGGTATAACTGTACTTTGTCTGGAGTTGCAGGGCAAAGACATGTACCTTATCCTGGAAAATGACATGCTGAACCTGATCGACCCCATGGATCGCACCGTTCTGCATTCGCAGCCCATCGTGAGCATCAGAGTCTGGGGAGTGGGTCGGGACAACGGCCGGTGAGTCCTCACCCTCCTTGTTTCTTTTGACGTGATGCTGTTTATGCCTGCTGATACAGAATACAGAGATACTCCGAGCAAGTTAGGTATCACTGCTATTCCTTTGAGTAATTGTGTCCCAGGGGCTATTCTTGTTCTTTCGGATGAGTAAATTCTTTTTCTTCTGCCTCTTGTTGCTTTTTTTAATCTTTGCTTTTCCTAGTATTTCACTTACATCCTGTTTTGCTAAATCTAAATTGAGCAAACTTTTCAGATGAACTCAGCCCTCTCCGTAAAACAGCACATGTAGCACTATGTTGTTTCAAATGTATGAAGTTTCTTTATATAAAACCATATTTTCAAATATGCCGCATAGCGTATATCTTCTGGCTATGTGAAGGCATGTCTTTCTGCGGGTCCAAGTTAAATGTGGTAGTTATTTTTCCCTGACTGTATGTGTTTGATTCCACATTCTTGAGATAGTTGATTGAGAGAAAAATCATGTTTTTCCCCCATTACTATTTCTTAAAGATCTCAACACAAAATTCCTTAGAGTGTTCCAGAATAGTGAGGTGTTTCTGCATCCCCACTGAAATCTGATTGAACGGGGGCTGAATTTCTTTCTTGCCCTAGGGTAAAGCCGCAAATATATGCTTAAAAGCTTTCCTGAACTGGAACCCATCTTTCACTAGCTTTCATTCCTAACTAGTCTTCTGTTGGTAATATCCTGCTTTTTCATGTAACCTTGTGGGAACAGGATTGAGAAAGTGCTTTTTTATAAAGCTGGATAAGAAACTGCTTTCCTATCCAATTACATTTTTGATATATCAACAATGTTTCCTTTCCGCACTGAGCAATTCCAAGATCTTTGGCCAATGCCCGTCCTGATGCATTGCAGTAAGGATTTTCTTTTCTCTCTGACTTTTGATCAAAAGTTGCATTTTGGCCCTGAAAAATCTTTTCCAGTAAAAGATTTTATGAAAGTTCTGTATTCCCACAAGAAGGTTTCTGGTTGTCTCTGGGTACGTTTCCAAAAGGAAAAGGGGTAAGTGTTTCTGTGACCCAATGTGTTTTTTATTTTCAGTGGTTCTGTTTTTTGAGAGATTTAAAAGGGCAAATCCAGTTAGAAAATGATGAGAGGCAAAGAGGTTTAAACTTCTTATGAATAAAACATGAAAGTGCTTTGTTTGCTTGAGAAAATGAGTGCATTACACATTTCCCTTCAAGTCAGGTTTGTAGTAGCTTTCTTTGGTCAGGAAGTAGAGCATCATTGGGGGCATCTGAGTGTAATGCAGCTGAACAGAATTCAGGAATTATAGACTCCAGGAAGACAGCTTTGCTTTTTCATCACTTTCTTGAAGTGATATAGTTCTTCTTTCAAATATTTGCGTTTCTTTGGAAAAATAATATCATTCCATTATGTTTTTTGTAAAATAAGATAATGGGTCACATTTCTCCAGGCTGGATACCTTCTTGTCCTAAAGAAACTAGTCAGAGAAATGTTACTGTTGAAATGAGACATTTGAAAACATTTAAGAGAAGTGTTCCTATTGTGGTTGTGCAGCACCAAGAATGTCCTGAGCTTTTGAAGAAAATTCTCCAGGGGTAGGAATCAATAGCAAATTCTTCTAGATGAACATAAGCCCCATTAGTAAGCCTGGAGTCAGTGGGAGGGCTTCTGCGTGGGGAGGTCATTCTGTCAGCACTGAGCTAGACAACAGCCATGATATCCAGCCATGCCTAGACTATAGCCAAGGATATCTAAAAAAAATTATGTACGTGGCACGGGAAAGAGCATCTCTGATCCCAATCCTGCACAGTGTTGTAGTCTGTTTGGGGATCAATAAAAATTCTAGTTCTGTTGAGATTTCTGCAGAAACTAATGTCTCTATTAAGAAAAATTTCTTAGCTGTGGAGTATGTGAGTGAAGTACACATCTAAGTTTAAAAAAAAAAAAAAGGCAAATTTTTCTCCATCTTGGTGAGAAGAGGTAGAAGTTCCCTCTACTGTTTTCCTGAACAGTGATTTTATTAATGACATCGGCAATACAGAGAACCAGGGTTAGAGCAAATAAACTAGTCTTCTCTTGTGTCTGTAACATCAGAAGAGGAATTTGACCCTTCCGTGTTGAAATTGAACATTTTTTTGTTTCCAGAGGAAATTACTTTTCTTGGTGGTTTGATGTAGATAACAGTAAGAAATGGTTTACTGAAGCTTTCATATATAAACACACAATCAAACCTGCCATTGTATCTCATTTGCTAACACAGTAATGTTCTTACTGCATTTAATGGAATCTAGGTTTTTTTCCCCTAAGTAGTTTGAATTGGGAGCCTTCCTGTCCTTCGCCCTTCATAACAATTCTGATAGATGCTTCTGCAGAGATTTTATATCCAGTATAACTTTCAGAACTGGAGTGCCTACTCTTTTTGAAATTAAATTTGTTTAACACTGTATCGAACTGTTTAAACGAATAAGATTGTGGAAAAAACCAGCCATTATTTGTGAGCCATTATTTGTGAGTAAACTCAGGCTGCATGGGCTGTTAACTAGCAGGGTGAAAATCCAGAACCCAAGCAGAAAGGACAAACTTTTGACTGAGTAGTCAGATTTACAGTGAATTTTGGGCATAGGGAGAATCGGTATAGGAAATATGCATTGGAGGGTAGTATAAAGGATGCAATATTTGCTGAACAAGCACCAACACACAACAAAAGAGCATTTGGTGACGAGAACCTGAGCTGTGACAGGAGGCCAAAACACAGGTCGTCATCTCAGCAGATGCTTAGCGGACTGAAGCATTTATCTTGTTATTTGGGGTGAGGGAAATCATGCAATTGAGTGAGCTGGTGACTGCAGCGTGCCTGTTTTTCGTATATACGTTAACATGCAGTACTTGGACTCATACTGGTAAAATTAGCTGTTTGCTCATCAAATAGGAAATGCTAGAGCTACTCACTGACTGCCATAGCAACTTTCCCTGGTTATGACTTTGCCATCAAAAAAGGGAGTGAGCTGATTTTCCAGGAAGTCTACAAAATCCTTGCTTTTAGTGTGAAACTCTTCTAGAAGTTGTTGCATGTGAATATTGTCAGTATGCTGCATCTTGTGTTCCAAGAATCTGTGTAGTAAAATGTATTCTATTTGTTCTGAAAATAAGTGGTTAAATTCTAAAATATTGTAGAAATTTGTTTTCTCTAAATTGAGCTATTCTCTATATTGAGCTATTTATATTTTCTCTATATTGAGGAAGGAAAAATTATATTTTCTCTACATTTTCTTTATATTTCTCCATAATGATCTTCCGTCCCTCCTTTTTGACTGTATTTTGCTTGTAGTGATTTATTTGGGTAGATTTTGCTTTGGAAGATAAAAAGGTTTTCTAATGATACCTGACCAGATGATTTTCTAAGCTATGCAGTAATGAAAGATTGATGAAATACAGAGATCTGCTGATGAAAGTTTAATCTGAGGATACGTCTGCTAACTCACCTCAGGCAGAAATGTCTTCTGGGATACTGTAATAATTCTCTCCATACGTTACGCTATTATCTTGACCTCTAGAGTTTTTGGTTTTTTTTTTTTTTAATACAGTTCTGTGATAAGCAAAGGCTTGATCGTTATGTTGACTTAAGCTGTGTGGTGATTTTGTTTTCTAAAAGGTAGTTTCCCTTGCTTTCAATTAATCGCTCGGTAAAGTATACGTTAAGAAAAAATAGCGTGCCTTTGTGAAATAGTGAACAGAAGCAGGTTCCCACAAGGGAAGTTGATGGATAGACATGTATATAGCGGTACAAAATCACTTTACTGAGACTGTGAGCTACCATGTTTGGTAAGTACATTCGTGCATGTCTAAACATACTGTGTATGTCCATCCTTTTAAGTATGATTTTTAAGAGTAAAAGCCATTATCCTCTGTTGTTGGTACAGTCTTCCTCTGCTGCTGTACTGAAAATAGAGCCATGACAAGTAGTTCAATACTTTTTTCAAATAAGAAAAGTCCTAATAATTGCTTAAATAGTTTTATTTCAAGGCGAGTGAAGTAATTGTTGCTTGGAGGATTTGTGGAAACGCAGGCGTAGGGGTGAATAACGGTCAGTGCTGCATTTACTTCTTAAAAAGCAGTCCGTGCCATGTTTTCTCTGGACTTTAAAAGCATATTGGAAAATATTAACTTATTAGCTATAAAAAGGTTGTTCTTTTCACTTGTGAGCTGCATTACTGTACATTAATCATTCCTTCGTCAGGGTTGGGTTTTGTCTCCCCTTCTCAACCACCGGTGCATGCCCTTTGCTTTCTGAGCAGCTTGCTAACAAGGAAGAGAGGAAAGGTAATGGCCCATCAATTTTTTAAAATAGTTTCCGGTCACCCATTTCCTTGATTCCTCCTTTATCTTCGTTGTTCTTCCATGAATCTAAAGCCTAGTGCAACTTTTAAAACCTCCCTGGGAGTTGCCTGAAAGATCACAGTCCCCTCCATCGTGGCGTCTTCGTACAGCAGCAGCGTATTCCAGCTGAAAAATTCAACGATTTGCTGCTCAGGAGAGCTGCGAGAGTGTTCGGGAGTTGCAGGACTCCTGCTTTCCCGGGACTGAATACGGCAGGGGTTGCCAGAAGACAGGGGCATCTGGCACCTTGAACAAAACACGTAACGTGTTTTTGTTCATCCGCTAGCTTTGCCACTTACATAACTCAAATTTGTGCGTTTTTTCTGAATAGTTCGTGTATTTCTTTGACGGGCTGAGAACTGAGTGCAGCTGCTCTTAGTTTTTAAATGGTGGAAAGGCAGATTCTTTGAAATTAGGGTTCCCTGATATTAGGATCTGTGAATAGACTGGGTGTGATAGCATTATGCTCCCCTCTGTGCCCTAATAACACCCGTTTTGGCAGTTGGGGTGTTTCTGCTCTCCGTCTGTGTTCATGTCCGTTGCCCTGTTCCTTGTCTAAACTGCTGCTGGTTTTCTGCTCCTAGATATCTGGGAATGAAATGAGGCCGGGAATCAGAAACGAGCTGTTAGAGGAGGAGAGAGGGACTAGGCTAAAGAGAATAGAACAACGCACAGCACCGAAGAGGAGACCGAATCTGCCAGAAAAAGAGAGAGGTAGACAGCAAAATGCATAGATGCCTCCGGTCAACTGGAAATAACCCTGTAAGGCTGGAAGAGCAGAAAGTAAAAATAACAAAACAAACTGCCAAAATAGAGCTCAGGAGCTGTTGAGACAAGAGTTGAGAAAACTATTGGGGTCGTGAGAGCGAGAAGGCAAATGTGTGGAAAGATGAGGAGGAAATGAGGTAAAATGGTGGCTCCGATTTTCAAAATATGGGGAATTAAAAGTAGTATCCTCTCTTGCTGCTTAGGCAGCCAAATAAAAATGGCCTTATTTCACAGGTGTTTAACATCTACACAGTCCATTAACCTCAGCGGGATCTGTGTATGTTTAGCATCTTCGAAAATCAAATGCCGAAACATGTATTTAGGAACCTTTCCCTAGACGTTCAGCTTTGAAAGCCTGGACTTGAATGACAATGATGTAGCTTGTTAAATGTTTAAATTTTGAGCGTGTGTCATGGATGTGAGATTTTAGGAGGGATGCTTGGCCTTAATTAGACAATTTAACATCAAGGCAAGTACGGACAATAAATAGAAGTCTAGTGTGGTTGCATCCGTTTAGTGCAGGCATCCTGTTGTAACTTTAATTTCTCATTCCCCTTTTTAGAAAATACGCTGGCTACAAGCCACACACCGTCAGCCTTCAGCGGTGCAGCGTGGCTGTAGCGCTGCCTCGTTCGGTGTGGTGTTTCCGGCCCCTCCGCTTTGCCTTGCCTTTGAGAAGGTGCCCCGAGACTGAGCCTTTCTCTGATTCTGCGAGAAGCTTATCAAGCTGTTCGAGATAATGAATAATAAACCCGCTCTTCTGCATTAAGTTGACATGGTCAAGAAGAGCTGAAAATAAGATAAAGTAAAACCAAGTGGCTTTATGCACCTGCTCTTTTGAAAAGATAACACCCTTCAAAAAAATGTGGAGTTATAGCTGAACTCTTCAAACCCTGAGACACCATGAATCAATATTACCTATTCCCATAAGTCCTCCTAACCTTGGAGTAAGGACAAAACACTGTGAGGAATCATGTAAATAGAGCATAGGTGGGGGATTATACTGGAGGAAAAGGATTTTACTGACTTTTCTGACCCATATTCTTAGCTACCTTATTTTGTCAGAGTAATCTTTTCCTTTCTCCTTTTCCCTAACCCAACAGCATCTGAATATCCTTTTCTATGTATTTTGGTAGCATTCTCCTCTCTCGCTAATAAATAGTCGAGGTGGTTGTCTATACGAAACTTCCAGCTTACACCTGTGAGGCCTGACAGTGTTGTTTGCAAATACAGCATGTTCTAGGAAGGGGTAATAAAGCAGTGAGGTAGTGAGGGGGGGAGGCCAACCAAGCTCACAAAATGAATGTACTTTGAAACAAATGCAGGTAAGTGGGTGAGAATACCTGTATGTGTACATTCTTTCTTTGATTAATGAAACTGGTTTGTTTTAATTTCAGCGGTTAACCCAAAAGACACAGTAGGCTGAACTGAAAGTCGAAATAGCGTCCATGGTTCTGCACCAGCGCATGTTTTTGTATCAGTAGTGGCCTAGATTGTGTCAGTGCAGCATCTCTGTATCCTTTCTGCTTAATTCCACTAACAAGATTAAAAATGATTATGTGTAACAGTAAGGGATTCTTACATTTTACAGATGAGGCCAGGGAGTAGCTCAAGTGCCTACGAAGGACGTGCCTAGGGAGGGTCTTGGAGCTATAGATATTTGGTGACCTTTAAAAGATGTAAATGCAGAAACAGCAGCTTAGAAGCGCAGTAGAAGTAGAATAGGCTAGTAGAATAGGAAAAATATGGACAGGTCTCATGGAACAAGGGAATTGGGACAAACCTGGAACAGGAAAATTAAAAAATTTGTGTGGGAGAGGGGACAGGAACAGAGAAGTCTGTAACAGAGAGAGTGGAGAACTCAGGAAAGTGATGTTGCATTAGCTTGTGAATAAATGAGAGGGATGGCAGAGGGCTGCCCTTCTTATTAGAAAAACCACCAGCCAACCATATAAAGAAGTGTCACTTGCTGTACTAGTGGCTGAGTGTGGCCATGAATGCTTACTCACCTTAAACAGATGCACATTCAAGTATTTTATTATAGAATGTGTTTAGTATTCTATAACTGTTTTCTACAAATAAAGGAAAATATTGCATATGATTTGGAAATTATATCTAGCATTTCTTTTGGGAGACAGACTTTTAAAATGGCACTTAGAATTGTTCTACATCTCTCTAATCTTTCTCTCTTAAGACAAATGATGCATCTAAGCCTGGACTACAAATAACTGGTGTAGCAAGGTTATCTTGATTAACTTAAAAAAAAAAAAAAAAAAGACAGCATAAAGACATGGACTACAAAAAAATGGGGTAGCAAAGGTTTCTTTATTTAATTTAAAAAAAAAAAAAAAAAAGACAGCATAAAGACAGCATACTGACTTAGTCCCTGACTTAGTGTGTTTCTGCAAATTTGTGCTAGAAAATCTGTGCACGTTCCCTGTGACTCCAGCTGTTAAACTTTTCAAATGCTTTAGGATATAGCTAGGGTAATATGTGAACTTAAAGAGCTATCACACAGTTTCGTCAATAATAGATTGAGCTGCTTGCGAAAGTGTGTGCAGCTCAGGAGAGCTGGTGTCTGCCAGTTTGGGGTGCAAGTCTGACGCTTGCTTCTATTATTCTTTCCACTGTATGCTAATCAAGCAGATGCTACATCCAGATTGGATTCCTATATTTAATTGCTGCTTTAACTCAGTGGCAAAACAGTGATGCAAGTGATGCAGAAGGCAGCTGCTCTCCTGCTCCATAGCTGTGAACAGAAAACACCCCAGCTCCAATCTCCCTGCAGGCTTCCGGTATGTTTTCAAGACTCATTTAGAGGCTTTGGTTTTAAGTAACGATTAAAGGTGGTTTAAACGTGTCTTGTTTACTTTGCCTTGTCGTGGACTTGGGTGCAAACACAGCCAGCTCCTTCCTCTCAGCAGAGCACATGCTAACAAAACCCAGTATCTTCCTTCCCAGACCCATCCGAGTCAGCTGAAGGCACCTGCCCTTCACACCCTTCTTCTCCAGAAGCACTGCCTTTAGACAGTGAGTTACACATCTCCAACATGATACGTGGCGGGGGGAGAAGGGGGGCTATGTATAGGGGGAGCCACCTATGGAATGAATTAGGTTTCGGCATCCACATGAAGAGCCGCAAAGCCTTCCGATTCGATAATAATTTGCTTCCAAAAAAAAGAAACACACGCAACCTACAATATTTTTTCTTTCTCATCTCAAAGCTTAGTATAGTCTAAGTTCTCTGTAGGACATAGGAAGAACCAAATTAGTCCACTTTCATCTGGCTAGTCAGTTTTGTATGGAAGCTGTTCAGTTATTAATAAGGTGGGCACATGAAAACCTTCTGAGGAGAAAAGAGGGCTATAGAGAGCACAGGCCACTGAAGAAAAGAGCAGTGTTTTAAGAAACATCGTGCTAAGAATACTTACAAGCATCACACTGGCCGAAAGATTCGATACAGCTCTTTGTTACCTTGGTTATAGTATGTTTGTGTGAGCAGTAACAGAATTTTCTGTCATAGGATGGTGTACTTGAAAAGGTCAGCCTGTTGCAAGAGGTATATTTACTGCGCTCGTTGTTTCCTCTTGTAGTCAAAAATTTGGCTTTCTAAAAATGATCGCTATAGCAGTTGAGTCAAAGTAATTCAGAGGAGAAAATTCTCTGTGCAGCAGAAAGGGTTTAACTCAATTATCTCTGTGTTGCACTGCTTAAATAAATGTAGGACATTCACTGCTTGTTAATACAGCAAGTTAAAAAGCAAAAGGCAGACAGAAATTGGCCTGTCTCCAGTTGTACTTCCCATCCAAACAGTTCATGCTGGTGCTATACTGGTGCATTAGAGGTAGATGGGTGTTTCTGTATATGCCGTCACTGTGTAAATATTTATATCCACTGACAGAAACACGTTTTAAGTTGGCACATGAGTGTCATACTCCTGATATCAAGGGAGCCTGTGAAATGCCTGAGCTTTTGTAGTCTACCATAGGTCTTTTGGAATTTGGCATATGCTGCAATAAAATAGTCTCCAAATTTTGTACTGTGTTTCTCTCTGAGCATTGTCACAAGCTTGCCTGAACTGCACTGGTATAATAAGTGGAACGTGCCTCTAAATAGGAGAGGATACGCTTGGTATCAACTTACCACTTCAATTATTTAAATGTCATCTCTGCCTCAGGATTTCTTTCCATGTTTGCTACTAGCTGATTGCAATTCAAATATTTATATGCAGTACATCTTTATGTAAATCACAGCATATACTGTCTTATCCACTACATGTATTTAGAAAATATTTACACTTCAGACTTATAATTCTGAGGGTAGTATGTTAGCGTGTTTCCTAATTTCGTCTCCACCAGGGAAAAGGGTCTTTGTCAGTGGTATTCAGCACAATTTGCCCTCTGGCAATGGAGGTTGATTGCCTACTAAAGTCTCTTTGATTCTTGTAGATTGATTAGCAAAAACTTAAACACTAATTTGAGTAAACGAAAATGATTTTTTTTCAGCAGAGAATTCAAATGTCTTAAACATTCAGTTTTTTTTTTTGACTGACTGACTTGTTTTTGTACTTAGTTACTGCGTCACGTGAACATCAGTATTTTTGGAAGAAGAGCATTGTGTTTAATGACATTGAAAAATTTGTGGGTATTACATCTCTCATGAGGTTGGTCCGTTTCACATAAACGCTGTTCATCTTAACGCCATAAAAATTAGTTCAATTTGTGACCTGAGTGATGCATTAAACACAGAACCCAGTCACCTCTGTAAAATACTGCAGTATTTTAGTGCTTGAAGTTCCTCTCTCACCACCTTGCTTAGTTTCAAAGCTTGCTGGACGTACGTTCGCATGGCCCTGAGTCTGGCCAAGTTCCTGTTAAAACTGATGGGAAGTCTTTCACTAACTTCGGCGTGAACTGGATTAGTCCATAACTTGCGGACAGAGGCCT